ATGAAGACCTCATGTGTGTAAGATATAATAATAATCTAGGGTATGTTGCTAACTTCATGAAGACCTCATGTGTAAGATATAATAATAATCTAGAGTATGTTGCTAACTTCATGAAGACCTCATGTGTGTAAGATATAATAATAATCTAGGGTATGTTGCTAACTTCATGAAGACCTCATGTGTAAGATATAATAATAATCTAGGGTATGTTGCTAACTTCATGAAGACCTCGTGTGTAAGATATAATAATAATCTAGGGTATGTTGCTAACTTCATGAAGACCTCATGTGTGTAAGATATAATAATAATCTAGGGTATGTTGCTAACTTCATGAAGACCTCATGTGTAAGATATAATAATAATCTAGGGTATGTTGCTAACTTCATGAAGTCCTCATGTGTAAGATACAATACAAAATTTTAAACCAGAACAATCATGGATACCAGAATTTTATGGCTTGTCTAAACAACATAAGTAAGTCTTAATTATGTTTAAGGTCTATTGTTTATGATTTCTGGATCACCCACAAAACACCTGTCATGTTTAATCAAGAAATGTATGAGTTCTCTTAACTCTATGACCTATTCACCCACTTAGTATTGAGATGTCCATCTTTGATGTAAATTTATTGTGTAGTTCAGTACTGATGAGGAAGATATCAAGGTTAATTTTTTAGGCTATCATCTGATACATTGAAGCAGTCTTTAGATGTGTCTTAGGAAATTCTTATCACTAACAAAATCAAAGTAACGTTATTCAACTGGCTCCACAAGGCTAATCTTTATCCAGAGGTCTGGTAAAAGTGACATATTTTTGATACTTTGAGTCAAGTATGGAAAACTTATTTTAATTTAACAGGCAGGCATCTCAGTATTTATACCCAGCAATAAAATACAATCTGAAGGTCTCAGAAATCACCCACAATCTTTCTTTTCATAATATTTTGATAGCTTTCAGGGTGGACTTATCCATACTTCCTTCCACACACACACACACCACACACACACACAAGAAATAATCACAAGAAACCTACGATTTTACATTACTGATCATACCATCCTCATACAGTTTGATAAGGATTATTATGGATCAGTCATACAGTATTCAGAGAGAATATTCTGATAACCTACACAGAAAAACCAATAATGAGATAATTTTAAGTCTATGTGGAGTGACACATCATTTTATTTATATCAAAAATAAATATGCAAATTACTTTGTATAATATTACAGTATTTCTTTATACTCGTTACATAAATGTATCTTTTTGTTTTTCAAAATGTGATCAAATTCTTAAAGGTAATTGATCTTCATGACTTACCACCTGAAAGTGGACTGGAGTGGTGTAATCTGGTGCCAGACCAGACCTGTCGAGTTTTGGTAGCAGGTGGAGATGGCACTGTTGGCTGGGTTCTTAATGCTATCCAGAAATTGAAGCTTTTTGTAAGTACATTGAACATTCTATAAACATTTTTACTAAAAAAAACTGCTAGCTTGTAAATTCACAGAATGTTTGCTGAATAAAAAACAAGGTTAGGCAATTTAATATTTTAGTAATAGGGGTTGCAGTATATGTAACTTCTTAGGCTTTTCATGCTCAAATCTATCAAACTAATGTAAAAAACAATGTTACAAAGCATCCTACCATGAGGGCAAACTTGCACACATTAAAATAAAAAACTTCAGAGTTGAAGTCTTTCAATAAAAAAGTATAATTTATTTAGTTTCATATAAGTATAAAAAAATTAGTGTTTGTGAATTTTCTGAAGTTATATGGCACTTGTAGTCTCCAGGAGAAAATCTAAAACAGCACTTATTTGACCATGTAAGTTCAATAGTAATATAATTTTATCAGTTTCAGCCAATCACTGTTTCTCAACCTTGGTTGCCATGGTATGATGTTATTGCCTATATCTCAGCTTTGAGAAGCTATAGGCTAGTGATCTAAGCATGTAACAAAAACTTTTTGTCCTTTTCAACTGTATAAGCAGTATAGCTTCCACTTCATTTTAAAAATACATAGAGATTGGAATAAACTAATAAAACATTAGTTACAAAACATACATACCTCCGCTGACACTTATAGCTACTTCTCGATCTTCATCTTTGCGATATAAACATCGTGTTTGCTTGCTCCAGTCTTTATACCTCACTTGACTGCCCTCAGGAATATCTAATTTGTAAAACTTTACATCGGCCCTCACATGCCCACTATACAGGTACTGTATATAAGCACTGTATGTTGACAGTACAATCACTTTTTCTCGACAAAGTGCTAACGCTAGGAGTTATGTTTTGTGGTTAACATTTTTTTTTGAAGCATTTTGACAATAGCCTGGTGTTTGTTTGTTTTCCCATTGCTACTATTTAGTTGATTTATAATATATAGATAAAAAAATGTGAGTATGAATTCCTGTGTAATGGTTTCTGGCACAGGGGTTAACCATTCCTCCTTTGTTGTCTGGTGGTAGTCAACATGGAGTCCTTCATGGAGCCTGGGGATTTTCCCCAGGTGTTCAGAGTTGGCTTTTTATCTTGAACCTGAATTTACTGGGGAGAATTTAGACACTGTTTTCTGCTCCTTCTTTCACTAGAGCTGCCTCTAATGAGGACTCATCTGATTGGCCACCTTCTGTCTCTTTTTCTGCAGTTAATTATGCGAGTTTATAAAGCTTTGGGGATTCACCACCTTGCTTTTGAGTCTACCCTAACTCTTTGTCAGATTTGGGGGGGAAGGGTGGTTATTTAGTTCTTCCTCTAATATTGCTGTGTATGCTGGGATGTTTGAAATGCAATTATGAGAGAGTATTGCTATGCCTTGCTCCACTTGTTTATCAGAACAACATGCCATGGCTTATCATCATCTGGCTGTACTATATTTGGACACTCAACAATTGGATTTGTTGTTGGATCTATGGGGTTCCAGGTCAGAACCTGTTATCCCTCTTACCAGATCTCCATTTTTGTGAATTCATTTAACTCTTATTACTGTATTGTGATACTCCTCTACGTGATTTCCAGGAGGCGCCCTTTTTTTGGCATACTAGTTTGCTGGAGTCCCTGAAACTTTCGAAGCTTGATTTTATATGGAACGTTTGCAATATTCTTTATCGTTATTGGCTGCTCGCCTCTTTTATACTCCAATGGGTACTTCTGGAGGATCGATAATTCTCATCTCACAGCCCCCACCTTTGACACCTCATCCTATTGGTTTACAGGATCGGTTCCGTCCCTATGCTCTGGGAACTTCAGAAGGTCGGGATGGCACCAGTGGCATTAGTGTCTACCCTTTCAGAAGGTCGATCCCGTTCATCCAGGATTCTATTCTCATCTTTTTCTGGTGACCTAGATCACCAGAGATTGGCATCTTATCATCAATCTGTCTCGACTCAATCTCTTCTTACAGCCTCCTCATTTCACCATGGAATCTTTTCTTCAACTTCAGTGGCACTTCACACCAGATCTTTGGATGAACAAGTTTGATGTTACAGACGCCTACTTTCACATCCTCATAGCAGAGTCTTCTCGTCAGTTTCCAAGCTCTCCTGTTTGGGCTTCCTTCAGCACCATATGTTTTCTGACGAGTAATACGACCTTTGAGCAGTATGTTCATTTCATGGGTCTGTGCACACATTACTGTTTGGAAGATTGACTTCTTTTGGCACCAGCCTGTCACCTTACCACAGTACATCCACAGAATCTCCTTTCTGAAGCCAGAAGGGTGTACTTCATATCAGGTTGGAAAAATTCATCCTCTCAACAACTCCATAAATGGTCCATCTTTGGGTGTTTTTCAATGCACTTTGAGTCTAGCTCAATCTTCTCTTCTCAGACTTCACGCAAGGGAAGGGATTGTCTGGCATTTGCTTATGTCACTTTCTCCCACTGCATGGATGGTTCTGTCTGTTTCGGAGATTTGGGCTTCCCTTGACTGATCATCAGATGGCTGATTTCCATAACAATAAGCTGTGGCATGATTGATACGATTTTATGACGGGTTTTACCTTATAATATCATTTCATTGTCCTATACAATGTTAGGTATATGAATGTGTGTAAAATGTTCATAATTTCACATTAGCAATTTATATATATTATCAGAACAAAAAATATATCTATTGTGTATCTAAGTGCACAATTCCAAACTTTTTAAAAATCAGACCATGTAAGTTTTGTATAAATGTCATCTAGAATAATCTTACATCATCAAGCTATAACATAACAGTACATAACATCATCCAGCTATAACATAACAGTACATAACATCATCAAGCCATAACATAATGGTACATAATATCATCCAGCTATAACATAACAGTACATAACATCATCAAGCCATAACATAACGGTACATAATATCATCCAGCTATAACATAACAGTATATAACATCATCAAGCCATAACATAACGGTACATAATATCATCAAGCTATAACATAACAGTACATAACATCACCAACAGTAGCTACTATTCATGTTTTCTGTAGAAATTAATAAAACAGTATTTTAACAAGTTAAGGACACACAAGTATGCATAAACTTTTTTTATGATTTCTGAATTTAAGCTCATCTTTGTAGAAAGTCATGTCTTTCTCTTAACAGCTTTAAACTCATTGATGGTTTCTTTCTACTCTTGAGAGCTTTAAAAGTAACAAAAGCCTATTTGCTGTGATATCAATTTGCATCTGAGAGTCAGTTGATCCAACAAGTTTTGATAGAGAAATAAATTGACTACTATCACTAATACTAATATCAAGATGTTGTTATAAATTATTTTTGTTTCACATATTCTGCAACACTTATACCATCTAATTGAAGCATTTAAGAAATACAATGCTTCAAACCTACTTTTTTAATGTGCACAAAATTTGTCTGTTAACAGTTGATATGATCATTTCATGTTTACATCTGCTCATCACACTAATTATGTTTCTCATTTGAAACTCGTGTTACTTATCTTTTGAATTTTCTACTGTTTTCCTTTTACATTTGTTTATTTGTTTTCATAAGCTTAAGCAAAACAAGAGAAAAAAACACTTTTCTTCTCAAAATCACTCAACAACTTAACAAAAAGAAATTATCCACAAATACATTATAGTTTGTATGAACATATTTATGTAGAATTAGGTCTAAAACAACTCAATGACTCAAATTGAATTCACCTTTTTATTTATTTATTTATTATTATTAATAATACTTTGAATCTTCAGGTACCTTAAATTTTAAGATTAGTTCACAACAAAACAAGAAACAGTAATTCAACTTTCATTTGATTACTGTGTACATGTTTATGTATGACATAAACCCCTCTTCAAGATAAATATTTACAATATTTGTTTTATTATATACAAAGACTGTCCTTAGTTCATCCATAAAGTCTGCTCCAACATTTGCAGTCTCTTTGATAGCTTCAATGTGGAACCTGTAGTTCTGAAGGTACAATGCCTCCCTCATTCACCTTTTTATTTATTTATTTATTATTATTAATAATACTTTAAATCTTCAGGTACCTTAAATCCTAGAATTAGTTCACAACAAAACAAGAAACAGTATTTCAACCTTCATTTGATTACTGTGTACATGTTTATATATGACACATTCCTTTGAATTTAATAATATAGTCATCTGCTTACTGTACACAAAATACAAAATCACACCCCTAAAAAATATGATTGGAAACTAAAAGTGACTAGTGGGTGGAGACAACAGAAGAAAAGTAAACCAAAAAGTTGGCATGTCTAAAACTAAAAAAAAATGAAACTGATCAAAAACATTTTGGGCATTATCCACATATACAAATGTAAAACTATGGCAAAAATATAGTTAAAAAGGAAAAATGAAAGGATTCTTAACTTAGTTTCTTTTGAGGGGTGAGAGAATGTAGTGACAAATAAAATCAGAAACAGAAGAAATATCAAAGAAGTTGATGATATAACTTTGAAAGATGGTACTAAGAATCAAGTAGTTAACACAGTAGAAGATGTGATGTATTAAATCCAAGTGTGATGCTAGCTTTGAAAAAATAGATCCAAGCTTTCTCTGTATAATTTTAAGGTGTACTTGGGGGGGGAGAGCAACTGAAGTACTGGAAATAGTTATTAATATGTTACACAACCAGTTATAAGTTTGTTTGTTTCTGTAAATGCATAAACACGTTTCTGTAAATTACTATTGTTAGTAGTAGCATTTATTAATTTTGGTTTGATACTAAATAAAGGTTTTCTGTGACTCCTTTGCCTTGTTTCAGTATGATAGCTGGAATGTTATATGCACTGACCTGTTACACAAATGGTTAATATTGGTACCCAAAATTAAGCATATACTTGTACATAATTGCATATTTCCTTTTTGTTTCTTTTTTAGCCCCAACCCCAGGTGTGTATCTTGCCACTAGGAACTGGAAACGACCTATCCAGAGTATTGGGTTGGGGAGATGGTTACAGTGGAAACATTGATGTGAAGAACATCCTTGATCAGATAGCTTCTTCTACTTGTGTTAAATTAGACAGGTTTGTTTAATATAGTCAGTTAGGGAAAATTGATAGTAAAACATATAATAATCCTTACATTAATTAGGTTCATGGAGAATCCTCTAATGTGAAACTACATATAAGATTGTTACAAAAATATATCATTTAAAATTTGTTAAATTTCTGACATGTCACAAAATATGTTTTGAAAGGAAATAGTTGTAATGTGGCAGTAACTTGGTAAGTTAAGGCTAACTTTTTTTACTCAATAAAATTTCTTTGGCTGATTTAAACAGGCTTCATCCACCTGTTTGGCACTTATTTGAAAAAAAAGTATTTCTTCACTATGCTAATGTGGGTCTTTCTCATAGCTACAAGTGATGAAACAAGAAAATACATTTAATTAAAACTTGCTTTTATGGTTATATTTTGCAGTTGATGCAGATAGAAAGAATTTGAAATTACAAAAAAATGCTGAATTTGTTTTTAAGAAATACAGTGTTAGATTGAATTACAGATTTAGTCCCTTTTGATAATTTATCATAATCAAATAATTGGTTTCAAGAAAAAAATACTATCAATCATCTACATTTCTGGACAGAATATTGACTGTAATTTTTGGGTAATTTCAGAAGGTGACAGAGTTTTTTTTTAAGTACAAATATCATCTCTCTGCTTGATGATAAAGTAATTTTATTATTCATTTTTGACCACTTATAGATGGAAAGTCAAATTATCTTCAGAAAGACATCTAGGAATTCCCATACCATCAAGGGTAAGTTTTTCTTCTTTCTGAAACTGGTTCACTAAAGTCAAATAAAATATATATATATATATTTTTTACAAGTTATGCCTGATAATATATTAATGGCCGTATGTCTAAGATCCAATTTCTGATGGTAACAAAGAGGAAGTTTTATAGTTTATAGTATATAGCCATCTATAAATAATAAAGCTATAAACTTATTGTTACTTTCATGAACACTATTGGTTAGAATGTGTAATATTTTTAATTTCATTTTTATTATTGTAGCTTTTTTCTAAAACATATCTTCAAGAAACTGATTTCTACAGTGTGCTTAACTTCTTGTCAGAAACTATAGAGCTTAATATGTGTATTTAGGATTAACCTAAATATAAACTGGCTGAACCTTGTAAGATATTATTGGGATTATGGTCAAATTTATTATTAACAGCAAGGGTACTCAACAGTTGAAGCAATACATTCTAATCAGTATAAATAAAAATGTTATAAAAGTATTTTTAATAAGCTGTACTCATTACCAGGTTGAATTTTAGTTGTGTTTTTTAAGTAGGTAGCTTGATTTGATCAGAAGTTAATATTGATAAAAGTAATAAAAGATTTCCATCACATTCTTCTTGGTAGTCTATTGTGAATTTTATATTTACTTTTACAGTTGTGTAGGCTACCTTTGAATTATATTAATATATTTTTTGAAAGAAAAAATTACTTATGATTGATGAGTGTTCTTTTGAAGCAGTTCGTATGTTTAATATTATGAGTCAGTAATTTTTATACAATGTTTATGTTTGATGTTATGACTCTGAAAATGGAATTGAAACCAGTACAGTTAAGTTCATAATTATTTGGAAACAAAACATTATTGCATAATTGTTTGCTTTACTTCTTTATTTACTGTTCTATGTTTCAAGAAAAATATGTTTAAGAACTTATTTCTGAATACCAATAATTTATATATATATCATGTATAATAATTGAAATGTGACTGTATTTTACAAAATACTAGGCTACTAAAACATAGCCAAGACAGGTCACTTTGTAAAGACTAAAGGTCAGTTTTATATTATTGGATATGGTAACATGAGAGCATGTGCCACGTCATGGTAACTTCTGTATTGTTAGCCAGGGACAGCTGAAATATCAATATAATAATAATAATAATAGATATGTATATATAAATGTATAATGTTATGAGATTTAAGCTATTTAGTCTAAACATTTATGTTTTCATGTTATAAATTGTTGTCATTCTAGAATGAAAGAGGCATAATTTATATTTATTTCCTTTTTTTTTTGGTGGTTTGAGATCAGTCAAATCTACTAAATCCGTACAGAGATTCATTTCTGAAAATAACATAAAATATAAAGTTTTTTTTCTTAAGAAATGTGTGATAACTATCTGGACATTACATAGATTTAACATGTGAAATTTGAAAATTTTCTGATGCATAAAAATATTTTTAATCTTAAAATGAAAATTACTTTGCATATTGGATAGGCAACATGTGAAAAAAAAAGAAGGAATGAAAAAAACGTTGCTTTACAAATCTTAAGACTTAATACAAAAATTTGATACTTTGCATATGAAAGAATTGTAGTGTTTATTGATAATCTGCCAAATTTCACTAAAATACATTTACTAATTTAAAAGTTATAGTATAAAAACTATAACAAACAGAAAATGGTTGTGAGGTCGGTCCCAGGAACCGAGCTCGTGCTAAAAGAGTTAATACTTTCTTTTTTTCAAGGGCCCATTCTTCATACCTTCATTACATGGATCCCACTCTATGGCAAGTGGTGCCTGATCAGGTATTTTTTAATTACCTTTTTTTGTCATCTTTTCAAAATAGGGTTTCTTGATCACCCATTGCACTGTTGACGTTCCTCCAGGCTCTCCAATGTATTCTAAGCTCCCCTTTTCTTCTAGTGGAGTGTAGGAGTCCTTACCACTTACCAGTTCCAAGCTGCTGGAGTGGTCGACCATGGAGGCACCATGCTGGATGGGTCCCACATAAGATGGCTATAACCACTCAGTTCAGAGTAGGGCAGTGGTGTTCTGCCAGTGTAGATGACGTAACATCCTCTGAATTGCGATTAACAATACAACAAAGTGAGATGTCAAAATGTAGTTCACGCCTTCAATTGGGAGCCCTCATCCTACCTACGCATGGATATCAATGCCCCACAGGCTGGTTTTGGTTTTTGAGTGAACCAATCAACATAAGTCCTCATACAGGGTTAAGGTTGTCTATCTTCCTCCCTTAATTTCCTTCTTCTGTGTTGTGGGTCACAGAAGGGATACATGGGATTATTCCGGTTCTATCCTTGGCTCTCCTTTGTTCTCTCTTCTTACATGGATTTTATTGCTCTTTTGATGGTCCCAACCTGTTTCCTGGTTGCGGGAGTTGATTGCATGCAATAGACTTCCTTTTGATACTAGTTGTCAAATTCCCGGATCTATAGCTCAGAGCTAATCATGAGTAATCGGAGTGGTTCTCAATTCCCCAGTTCTTGGGTTTGAGGTGAAGACAGTATGATGTCAGTACCCAGTGAAGAGGTTTTGGATGTAGTTGACTTGCCAAGTATGGTATGCTGCACCCTAACAACTCTACACCATGGGACACATCCTCATTTGCCCACTTTTCTTATTGTGGGATTGAGTTACTATATCTTTCTCTGACTAGGATCACTTTTCTACCACATTCTTTCCCAATCGGATGTGCTCCTCACATTTTCCACCATAATTTCTTGCACATTCCACATATGGGCGAAGAGTATACCTGAATCAGAAGTGGTGTGGTTCCCGTCTATGTATCTTCAGATCTGGCTCTCACATCTACAGAGGTATCATTTGGACACTTTCGGGGGGTTACATTTGTTCTTCCCTCGCACCAGTCCCTCCTCCTAATCAATGTGGGATTCTAGTTAATCTTGTGAGTGGATGGAAGTACCGTATCAGAAGATATAATTTTCTTATACTGAAAATGTATTTCCGATAGGTACTTCCCTTCATTCACACTTCCCACCCTTCCTCCCCACTCACTTCCGGTGCTTCCGTCATCTGCCAAACTTCAAATGATAGTTCAGTAGAGGCGCATATAGGTTGTCACATGCATCACATGAGTGTACTATTCTTCTATTGGTATGATGGTTTGCATGAAACACACGTTGGAATCATTTGACTCCAGTAGGGGGGTGCGGAAGGCTTGTGGCATGCGTAATAAGAAAAGTTCGCATATGGAGGGCAGCAATGATGACCCTCTCTTGCACTCTCTGTAGTCAGAGATTGAGGAGATTAATGGGTTATAGGGCAATGAGAGTACCATACAACACTAGTATAATAGCTTCAATTGATGAGAAGGAAGATGATGGCAGTGAACATATGACCATCCATAAGAAGTCAAATGAGGAAATGCCAGTGTAGAGCAGTACAACTGCTATAATGGTTGACCAGGATGCCAACATTGGCCTAATTGTTATGACCAGGATTAATTGATTGATAAGCAGTTAATATAGTCAGTTGCATGATAAATCAGTGTCTGTAAATAAGTTAAATTCCCTGCTTTCTGAACTATTGAGTGGTGTCTCGCAGTAGAAAGGTTTATAGCTTCTTGACTATAGTTTAGATAGGATGTAAGTTGGTGAGGGAACCAATGACTGAAATATTTTACCCATCAGTACAGTCTTTAAGTAACAGATCCTTTAAGTGTGTCATCATCATCATGAGTTGCATAGTATTTTCAACACCAGCACAATCTTTAAGCAACAACCTTCTTTAGTTTGTTGTCATTATCATGAGTTGCATGGTATTTTCAACACCAGCACAATCTTTTAGCAACAACCTCCTTTAGTTTGTTGTCATCATCATGAGTTGCATGGTATTTTAAATGCCAATCACAGTCTTTCACCAACAAGTTCTTTTACTTTGTTGTCATCATTATGAGTTGCATGGTATTTTCAACACCAGCACAATCTTTTAGCAACAACCTCCTTTAGTTTGTTGTCATCATCATGAGTTGCATGGTATTTTAAATGCCAATCACAGTCTTTCACCAACAAATTCTTTTACTTTGTTGTCATCATTATGAGTTGCATGGTATTTTCAACACCAGTGCAGTCTTTAAGAAACAAATCTCTTTAGTATGGTATCATCATCATGAATTGCCTGATATTGAGAAATAATATCACTGTTAACCCTATTGCCATTGGTATCTTTTACTGCGCATGACACAAGGTTTTAGTGTCTTATATTCAAAATTTTACTGTTAACCCTATTGCCATTGGTATCTTTTACTGTGCATGACACAAGGTTTTAGTGTCTTATATTCAAAATTTTATTAAACCACTTTTTGTTTATGTATACCAATCTATCAAATTTAGGAGGTTTAGGGATTACACAAAGGAAATTTGAGATGAGGAAAAATATTTTTAATTTTAACAAAAATTACTTTGCACACAGATAATTCAAAACAAATACTCAGTATATTTATGGGCAGATCTTTGTTTTATTTTATTAAGAATACTTCACTAAAAATGTGATTTTTATATATGAAAGACTGCTGAATTTTGTGACGATATACACACTATATTGAAAGTTAGAAGTATTAAATCTATAAAGACTAAACAAGTACAAAGAGGTCGTGTGGTCAGTCAAATTGATGAGCCCATTTTGAGAGAATTAAATGATGTGTCAATACTGCTTTTTGTCCAGTAATATTTTTAATCTTTGACCTCTTCAATATACAAATTAGTATAGCCTTCAGATAGTGTGCAAAATAATTAATAAAAGTAAGAAATCAAGCTAATGGGTATACACAGTATTTATTATCTGTGTAATCAATCATACAATTACACATTTTGATAGCTTTTCTCCAGTTGGCTCAAGCGACATGTTCATCTTGTCATCCAGTAAGAACCTGTCAAAATACTACTTGTACATCTTAAACGAAACCTTCCATTTTATTGCAATCAATATGCAGATACCTAGTTCACGATGTACTTATGCTTGTGAATATGTTTCTAAGATAAACTGGATGATATTTGTGTCAGCAAGAAAAATTACTTAGTTAATTTGATTGACCATGCAACCTCTTTATACTCATTTAAATTATTTATAGATTTTTTTCTTTTCTTTCTTTCATTCGTTTATCCTAAGTAGCTTTAAGCTCGTAACAGTATACATCTATATATTATTAAATTTATTGTTTTATTGCCCTTTGAACCATGTCTAACTACTATCCGTGCCATTATAAATTGTAAATCACTCAGGAAATGTGCAGTTCACGTTACACTATCGAATTACATTACCCACAAGCTGCTTGTGTGCAGGCCTCATGAAATATTTTTTATTACATTAGTAATAATATTTATTTTGCCTAATCTAAACTAACCTAAAAAGATCCTTATTTTTACATCTTATTTACTTTTATAATAATAAGTAAAGAATAAATATGAAAAACAAGAAATAAAGTACTTATCCAATCTTCGTTTTCTTGCTGTTGATTGTTGATGAAACATAACCCTAGTTTTTTATACTAATAGTAGTAATGCACTAAATAATTTTTATTAAATTAATTTAATTTACCCTAACTATCAAAATTTTTCTGACTTTCTAACCGTGAGACAATAGCCATTACAAATTCATCCAAGCTAGTCATTAACTTTCCCATTGGAATGATGCTTGTACTCCATTCAGAATACAAAGTTATACAATACGTCATTTGATAAATGAAAGCCTTGACTTTCTATTGGTTATAGGTAATATATAATTATACGTAAGAGAGAACTATTAACAAAGCCTGAAAGAGAGGATGTAACAGGTAGGTGTGGCAGGAAGGGTGTGATTTTCTATTTGATACCTCTATAACCAAAGAAAATTGAAGGCTATAAAAATTATGGTTTGTCTGAACAATGACAATATTATAGGGAGCAATTTACATTTTATTTTGTTCATTTTGAAGGGGTGGTGGATAAAATAGAGAAGTTGCCTAGAGAAAATGTGTTACATGTGTAACAATAGGGGAAGTTCAGGATTTCTTTAAATATTTCCATATAGAATTAAGAACTTAAGACTTGAATACTATTCAAATATGGATTGTTAACTAAGTGTTTATGCCATATTAATTGGTATAACATAAACAGAAAGTAGTATAATAAAATGTTGAATATAAGACACTAAAACCTTGTGTCATGTGCTGTAAAGGATACCTGGGACAAAAGTATTAAGGCATGTATTCAGCAGAGATTGTTCTCTATGGTTAATATTTTGATGATTTGGACTGTAATGTTAAATCTACTTCTTCATTGTATAACAAATAACATCACAAACTGAGAAGTACAGCTGCAGTAGCATTAGCTCTAATTAGGTCAGCTAAGTCTGTAGGTAATGAATGTTATTTAATAAATATACATACCTAGGTGTGGGAAATGGATATTTTTATTGATACACTATCTGTTTTTCTCTTTCATCTTGAAAGAGTGTTACAGGCAATGTGTCTTTTTTGTTATAATTAGTTGTAGTTCTGATACGTCTGATAAAATCCCCTATAATTGTCCTTCTTATGAAGATTGTTATAACTCAAAACTATGGTCCTCATATATTCATGATATGATTTTTTTCATCTAATATGAACAAAGTATATATCATATTACAAACCATGTCATAAGAATGTGAAGATTAACTATAGGGATTATAGAGTAGAAAGAACTGTATAAGTAATGTTTGCATTAAACAGTTTCCCACATGTATAGAAGTATAAAGCTGTTTGGATAACAATGTCTATCACTTACATAGCTAAGCTGATAGAGCTTGAAGCTGCAGTTTCTAATTGTTCATGTTATGGCACATATGTTTATTATCTAGTACGAGCTCATTGTTTCATATTACAATTTATGACACAAACTAGAGGACTGATATAAAAATTGTCTAATAAAATATATGAACAGTTTTTAAAATCCATAAAAACTTGGAATAATATCTTCAGAATTATATACTCTGTTGCATGTTGATTTAAATGTTTTGATCTCTTAGTTTATATAAGTAGTGCTCTCGTTCTTTCTTTAGTGGATTTTGTCGATTCTTTAACTATTTACATTCACATAGGTTGATGTTTCTAAAGTTCCACTGAATCAATATATCAAAAAGAATGCAGTCCATTAAAGTTCTCACACTTACTGTGTCTATTGAAAGAAAAAAGAGGCAACATTTCAGCTTACATACTGAGCCCTTCTTCAGATTTTGATAGTTCTTGTACATTTCCATTACCTTTATCATTAGGTAGAAACAAAACTTCCTTTTGAGAACATTCTGTATCTAGATTTCAGTGTAGGGCAGGACTGAATAATGGATTTAAGAATGGCTACAGTCCACTTTACAATAGAGTTCACATATTCTTTGTGTTGTAAACTCTGAAAAGCAGATGGGCTAACTGTAAAAATGTCATATGTTACTATAGGTTTCTCTTGGAAGATCTGTTAAGAAGAAGGTTTGAAATACATTTTCTACCATTATGTACTTGTATTTTAGAAGTAAAAATGTTTGTTTATCGAAATTGGCATTTGAAATGCTCTGCTTGAACAGGACTGTGATTTTTTTTTTCTTTTCATGCATAGGAAATCCTAATGAACAACTATGCTTCTGTGGGAGTTGATGCATTAGTGACTTTAAATTTTCATAAGACGAGAGAATCAAAGTTTTATTTGTATAGTAGCAGATTGCTGAACAAGGTGAGTTGCAACTAAATTCCATTGCTTGTTGAAATGTTGTTGGTGTTTATTAATATAGGTGTTTTTCCATATATAAAGTTAGCAGTTATGTAAGTATAAAAAACTGATCAACATCCTAACAAACCAAGCAGCAGCAGTATTTTGATCAATATAAACTGTGTGTACAAAATGTTATAGCAAATTGCCTTTAATCCTGTGTGTATGGGTGAGGTCAAAATGCACATTTCATGACCATTTATAATTTTATTATCATTGTTTGTCAACATGTAGTTTATGTTTCAAATTTTAATATTATATGAGTTTTAATTTCTTAATTTAAAAAATACATATTTAATTTTCAGTCTTCTCTGTGTCATATGATGCCTCTGCTCTGAATTCTCCTTTTGATTTTCTTTCTTCCCTTATATGGGTTTCAGAATGTCCACCAGAAACACCAACTAAAGATACTGGCAGGCCAGAAATTAAAATAAGACCTTCCCACCTTTACTTTTTGAGATATCAATAAATTTGTTAAACCCACCACAGAATCTCCTCCAACTCTTCATGCTTTTGGAAGTACTTTTACTCTTGCATATTTGTATGTGGTAAATGTTTAAAAGCTATTTTGTAAACTATCTGATTATAATGACTTTATGTTATTTTATTTTGGTAAAAGTACCATTTCCCAAGTAGATTTTATTGTGTGTAAACTGAAGTCAGTGCTGCCAATAAGTAATGACATTTTTCAACCTATTCATAGGTTAGTTAGAAAGCCAGGTAGATTATAGTAGTTTTGGGGCATTCTGTTTTACTGTTTGAATTATTTTGTATTTTAAAATGTGTATTTGAAAACTACATAATCATTTTTGGACAACTAACGAAGTGTGAAAAAGTAGTCTTAGCAGAGTATGCTAATGACCAAAAGTACACACTCGAGTTCTTTTAGGCCCATAAGAAATGGTAATGGTAAATGTCTGGTGTTTATATATGTTTTTTTTTTGTTTATTGGAGTATATTTTTAATTAGAGTAACTAAAAATGTAAAAATTAAAAACTTACTAAGTTATATAAGAAAATTTAAATGAAAAATAACTTTTCAATACTTCTTGAGAAACCCATGAAGATGTAATTAGACATTGTGTGATGTAGTTTGACACTTTGTTTACTCTAAAGTTTCTGCACTCCTGCTGGGTGATTTATTCCTTTTTGCAGTAGTTATACATGGTTCAAAGAGAAATAAAACAAGAAAATTGAATTAAAACAACTGGAAAAATTATGAGGCATAAAAAACTCTTATTATAAATATTTGTAATTGGCTGCTTCAATCTGCAGTTATTTTAGTCAAAAGAAAAGGTATTATCATTCTAATTTGAAAATCACCTTGCACTCAGACTAGTCAGAGTGAATCATTAAATTCACAAACAAATCTTTATTAAATATTTTATTTTCTTGTAATGTTTATTAAAAGCTTACCAAATTTCATGAAGATATACATTTTAATTCAGATTTATAGTAAACATTAATTTTTCAATACCGCCTCATTCCTATTGACTGATACTATGCATATAGGGTTGATAAATATAAAGCAAACTAAATTCTTATATAAGCTTATCAAGCATGATTAGATTGTGATGAATGCTTATTAAAACAGATATGATTTATTTGTAATCCTAGAATAAAAGGGTGAGTTTACTTCTAGACTCAATTTTATAACAAACAAACTTCATAAAATATATATATGTTTTTATTTCTATATATTAAAGACATAGATTATCATATTCTCTTTGAAACTAATTAAACAAGGCATTTTCATTGCTTTTTTAGTTCAGAAAAAAGTAAGATGCTTACTGTGAATTTGTCATTTTTTAAAATAACCATAGTGAAATTTTAAATTGATACTGTATCTGTGTTTGAATTTTTCCTCTTTGGTTATCTTTCAGTTTCTGTATTTAAGCTATGGAACCAAAGATATATTGGAAAGGGAGTGTAAAAACTTGCACCAAAAGTTGGAACTACAGTTAGATGGGAAACCAGTTAATTTACCTGAGTTGGAAGCAATTGTCATCTTGAACATCCCCAGCTGGGGTGCTGGTGTACGACCATGGCAGATGGGAAGTAGAGCTTCAGAACTTCAGCCACTGAGGTAGTAGTAGTGCTTAAGATTGATAGTGTTAAATAATGATCAAATTCAAATTTAACTAGTTTAATGATAAATTCTTTGTTTACAAATTTCTCATGCTTACAGATTTAGTGGTAAAATCATCATTGCAGTAATTTTCTGTATATGTTTTCTATGCTTGTGAAGTTTGTGGTAAAGTCTTTATTACACTAATCTTTACACATATTTCTAATTCATGCAAGTTGAGTCATAAGAACCTTTATTATATTAACCTTTTGTGCTAATTTCCTCTACACATTATGAGTTTCTTACAATAACTTTTGGTGCATATTTATCATATGTGAAGATTTATTAGTAAAATATCTGTTATACTAGTTTTCTTTACAAGAGTATATTAACTTCAAAAGATATTTATTATAATCATAACTAATATTCAACGTTTATGATTTTAACTTTATACACAAGTGCCAAAATACTATAATTAGATATTTATTATGTCTGAGACTTAAATGTAAAATTTTTGTTGTACCAAATATATATATGTGTATATATATATGTATAAATTCAAAACTCTATTTAGAAAAACAAAAAGACCTTCGCATTTTCCAGTCGTTATCCAAAAGTCATAACAGAGATTGCCTGTGGTAATAGCACCCAAAAGCGTTGGGTATATTCCATCTATCAAACAAAATCCAAAAAGCAGATGAGAAACCAGTCAGCAGTCATGGAAAATTCATTAAGGGTACAGAGTTGAGTGTATACATTTTAATGAACAAAATCAAGCCCAAACAAAAGTCAAATAAGGACACTGCACAAAGCAAAAGAATCCCCAGGGCACAGTCACCTCCAAAACCCAGGGCATATTTATATCCTACATTACAGCTTGTGCCCTGGGGATCCTTTTGATTTGTGCAGCATCTTTATTTGACTTTTGTTTGGGCTTGTTTTTGTTCATTTGAAAGGTTTGGATTTGCTGTTTTTAATGCAGTCCTTCCTTCCTTCTGATTTTGTATTGCTTGACTGTTTGAGTATTGATTTTCTATGTATATATATGTTATGTTTGCAGATTTGATGATGGAATCCTTGAAGTGATTGGAATCTATTCATCTTTCCACATAGCGCAGCTTCAAGTTGGGTTGTCTGAGCCACTTAGATTAGGTAGAGCAAAGGAAATCAAGGTAGGAAATAAAATTTCTCTGTTTGTTCTGAATGTTACAGGTATTTTGTGGTTTAGCTGAAATTAAATTTATGGGATAGGGACTGGTCACAGTTTAACAATAGTGTATACCAGAAATATGCAGCCTGTGGGACTTGTACATCATGAAATTGAAGAAATTTAGAGGATGGAAATACAGAGGCTAGTTTTGCAAAATTAAATCATTTATTAACTTCCCTAATCAAAAGTACCAAACAAAATGTGAAGGTTATACAATTTACAAAAAAACAAAAAAAACAGTACAAGATGACATTAAGGTTACTCAGTTTTTGTAATACATGCTACTGAACTTTGATTACTACATAGCATCAAAAACATTTAACATTCTTAAATTATGTTTGAAAATTTACAAAGTAACTTACTCAAGAATTGAACCATTTTCCATAGTTTAACAGAAAGCATGTGGTTCAGTCTTGTACAGAAACTTAGGCAATAACTTCCTGAACTAGGAGGAGGCTATTTAACAATATGGTAAAAATCATTAAGCTCAGAAGATAAAAACATACTTATGAGTGCTTGCTCCATAAGGTTTATAAGCATATTTCTTGTTCCCAGTTCTTTAAATCTTGCAACTTGTATACTAGCTAAGACTAGTTCAGGATTTGGTTTTTATGAAGTTTTTGAGGTTATCCATCATGTGCAACTTTCATGTATTTCTATATTTTATATTAAGTTCTTTATCTCATGCACTTCTTGTGGTCTTTCTATGTCCATTGCAAGAAACATTATCATTTGATTCTTGGTCCCATCACATTCCAGTGATGATATTAGAACTTATGTTCATGTTCATAGCATTTTAATTTTCATGAGTTATCTACCTTTGAACAGAATTTAGAGGTTACAATAGTATTTGTTGTACAGGTGGAGTACATTTTATTCAAACAATTTTGTATGTGCAAATCTGCAAGTATCATGATAATCACAACTGATATAAAATTGGGGTGGAATAGCATGTATCAGAACTACATTTTGACATTGTTTACTACTGTGTAGGTAGCATGATGCCACCAAAATTGATTGCTTTTAGAGAGGGTATGTAATGGCCCTTTTCAAATCAATATGTTCATACACTTAGAACAGGGTAGTCTAACTACATGCCTGCAGGCTAAATGTGGCCTGCAAGTGCTCTACAAAAAAAATATATATTTTTTTGTTGGGGAAATTGTGTTAAGAAAGATGAGAAATCGTTTTGTATTAACAACAATCACAGAAAATATAAATAGTACTTTAAACAGCATTTCAGTATAATTTTGATAAGCCTTGTGTAACTGTTCTAAATTCTAAGAATAATTTATTAATGGACTATACAAAACCTATTCTCTCTACCAGATTAGTTTGCGGGTGATTGGGGTCTTCTACTGACTTCTACCTTGGACAGATTGCCTGCTTCTGTTCCTTCTGCAAAGAAACCTTGGTGAAGAGACTTTGTCTACCTGCTGTAGCCTTCTTTTTATTGTCACTTCCTGTTTGCAGGTGTCCCTGAGGCATTTGTATTGCAAATTGCTGTCACTGTTTGCTTTTTTTGTTGTTGTTGTTGACCTCTCAACCTTCTTTGGCTCTAGCAGCTGTATAGCCTCAAACCTTAGTTTCAGGGCCACTCCATTTGAACTGACCGACGCTAACATCGTTGGTATTAACCTCAGTGAGAGTGGGGGGTCAGTTAGAGTGAGGTTACAACTAGTGATGGACACCTGGTATTCCTTCGATGCAAATTCATGAGCACCTCGGGTTCTGGTATCGAGGTTGGTCTTTCGATTCAATTCTCCACCTCTATTATCCTCTCACTCTGTGGTATTTCCACCTCTACCTGACCAGTGTGGTGTGGATTTACGTTTCACGACTATCAGAGTTACTGATCACGGGGGTGGTAGTGACAGTTGATCCCATTTTTCTGGGATTTCATTCCTGTTTATTTATTGTGCCTGTGACAAGGGGAGATTCTCAGATGATCATCATTTTTTCTCATCACACCCCATTCTTTGTTTTCTCCCTGGTCCACAATGGAGTCTTTACTCACCCTACTTTGGCATTCTTCACCAGGTCTAGGGATGCCCAGATTTGTGGTTGCTGAGACATTTCTCCACATTCTCATAGTAAATTTATCTTGCCTTCAGCTATGTTTTGTATACAGGGATTAGGTTCTGTAGTTCAGGGATTTAGCCTTTGGTCTAGCATCAACACCATATGTCTTCTGTTGGGTTGTACAAGTTTTCACTATGTTTTATGCCAGGCTTAGCCACCTTCAGGCTATGGAATGGGCAGTCAGGCCCTTTCTTACAGGGTTGTGGGCTTCCCTCAAATTTCTTGGGATGAGGACACATGCTATCCCTTCAGTGGTCCCATTGTAACTAATGGATCTGGAACTTCAATCCACAGGATTTTCCAGTCTCTTTCGTCAGGAGCAACAGCTTAGTTTTTGAGTGGTGATTGGTTTGAATCACTTCTATCGTTAGCATGTGTGTGTGTGTGCATGTGCATTAATGTATCTGTAAATTTGTGTGTATATATGTATGTGTGGGTGTATATCTCTCTCTCTATATATATAGTGAGTGTGGGTGAATATAAATGTATACTACCCCTCTGTCTATAGTTTCTCTTCACGGATACTTCATTTCAGGGATGTGGTGTGTATCTTCAAGGTCAGGAATTCCAGGGTATATGAATGGAGGATGAATCTTCATTCTGCATCAGTAATTTAGGACTTTTTGCTGTCCAACAGGCAATAGTGCAAGGTCTAGATCTTTTGCATGGGAATATCCTCATGACACGTTTCATCAATTTTACTGGTCTCTTAATTCTGTTTCTTTCTCTATGGGACCTATTACACTCATGTCAGCCTCCTGGCTTGCCATTTTCCTGATGTGATGGATTTCATAGCAGATTGTCAGTCTCAATTCTCACTTTCTCCTGAACAAATGGATTGTCCATTGTGCAGTTTTTGATAGATTTGTTCTCACTATCGGCCTTCATTGATGGCTTTTGCCACTCATTGACACTCATCTACAAGCTTTGGAGTCTCCGCTATCTCATCCTCAGGTTTGGGTGGTAAATGCAATCAGTCCTGCTTGGATGGGAATACACATCTAATGCCTTTCCCTCACTTCCTCTGTTACTCAGAGTTCTGGTGATATTTTGCACCTCTACTTGCAAGATGTTGGTAGCCTAGATTGTCCGGCCTAGCCATGATTTCCTCTTCTACAGTTTCTTCATGTGAGTCCACCTCTGCATCTTCCTCTTTGGCTATCTTTATTGAGGCAGCCTCAACCCAACATTCTACACCAAGACTTTTCCCAGCTCATTGGGGTTTAACATCTACAGTTGCCTAGGGTGTGCCTCACAAGGAGTTTGCACCCACTTTACCAAACGTGTTCACCATATCTTGTTTTGACCTGTTTTTTCCTTGGGTTTAGCTTTGTCTTCTGTCATTTAGTTCAGACAACTATTTCATTTCCTTTTAGTTATCCTCAATATCTGAAGGTTTTGAACTTCCTAGTGCTATCCAGCCTTCTTTCCAACTGGCTTTTTCCATTACTTAATCGAAAAATTAAGGTGGTACTACATGCCTTGTCTCGACAACCATTTGAACCTTTAGCCTCATGTACCATGTATCATCTCTCCCTTAATGGGTATTTTGTTTTTGCTGACATGCTGATGTCATTGACTGGACTTGTTTATATGTTTGTAAGACTCTTTATCTCTCCCTTTAGGTCCTTCTGTACCTTGATAGATTATTTCTTTCTAAGTCTCTGGCCACCAGGGAAGGGGATACATCCCTCTCCACAATTCTTTTGCCAACTATTTCTCACCTCTACAATCAATCATATACTGATCACTTGTTTTGTCCTATCAGGCCCACAGGTGTTATGAGGCTCAATTTCACTCATTTCGTGGTGATAGTTCTCTGTATTTATTCTCACTTGGTTTATCCCCACTTCCTTGGAGGTGGTTTTGCACATATCCAGGTTGCATATTCTGGATTTTACAAGGGAGGAATCTTCTGAGACTTACATCTCACCAGCTTCAGCACATTTATGTCTTTTCCTGCCAGTTCTTTGCTTCAATGGGGGACATTTTATGGACCTGTATGTGGACTTCTTCTAATGCTTTTCTCTCACATTCTTTATCTGATCTGGGGGTATTCCACTACCCCCCCCCCCCATGGCTGTTTTAACAACATCTGCTAGATTAATCCGGAGGAGGGAATAATCTTGTATTTCTTTTTCAGGGTCCCTTACATCTTGCTTTCACTTGATCCCACTATGTGGTGAGTGTTGCCAAGACAGGTGTGCTTTTATCAATCCAATTCCACACTAGCAACCCATTTGAATATAATTCTGGTTGCAACAGGCTCTGTACAAATGAGTTGTTCCATAAGATCATCTAGGTGCTTTTGCAGATGGTATTACCATATTATCATGGACCACTACTCCAGGACTATCATAAGTAGAACTAAAGGGGATTCTGCCTGTCCCTGCCAATCATCAGATTGAATAAATTGGTGTTGGTTTGCTTTTAAAAATTTAGGGAACTTGGTTCACCTTTTGCACAATTTCCAGAGCATTGTTATTTAGAACTCTCCAATGTGCATTATCACCCAAATTCTACTAGTGGAGCTACAGAGTCCTTACCACATCCAGTTTCCAGTTGCTGGGGTGGTGGACAGAGGCTTTTCCTCCAAAGTGTTTGAGTGTGTTCCTCCACTCTCTGAGAAGAGGGCAAAGCTTGGGGTCCTCCAACCCAGGTCCCTGGATGTCTTTTCCAGATGTCAGTAGGAGTGGTGCTGGCTTACGTGGGAGCCTACTTGTAATACTGGTTCAGATTTGATCCTATGCTATCTGGTTGGGGTGTACTTGGCTCTTCTTATGAACAGTGTCGGGTTGTATGTTGTTCATGGATGGAAGTCCACTATCTCCTCATTATTCAAACACGAAGTGGTCCCATCCTAGGTCCTTGGTTGAACACAGTGTTCCATGTCCTCTCCCTAATTTTGGGGGCAAGTGGAATGCTCCTTGCCCACTTGGTTGGAGAGTGAGGATGAATGTTCATAATTCCAGACCAAATGAATTCTGTTCTTTTGGTTAAGTTTAGTATATATAATCCCATCATTCCATGCCTGGGGTGTTGGCTTTTGGACTTCTTCAGGTGGAAAAGAAAGTTTGTCCACTTCATCATAATTCCGGTGGTTTGGAACACAGCAGCCTATGGCTACAGGTTGGGATCCGATCAAATGTATATCTATATATCATATTGTGATCCAATTGCCCTAGCCACCAACGTGGGATATAGGGATCATGACCCCTTAATTCTAATCCCAAATTGTGGAACCTCAGTTATCTGGTTGGGGCTGGCTTATAATAATTACTCATGTACTGTTCCACTCTTAATACCAATATTAAGTTCTAGGTGAAGAGCATACCTGTTCTTAATGTAGTGCGGTTTCTCCAAAATGTGGAATATATCTGCTGTGAAATCCACAAATTCTAAAAATGCTCTGACATATTTTACAGTTTAGACACTAGGTAATTTATGTATTTTTCTGAATTTTTTGTGTCTTGTTTTACACCATCTACAATAAGCACAAAACTTAAATCATCACTTCCTTATTTTAATTCAACAAACATGTCTTATTTGTTTAAGTATTCCTCGAAACCTGTGATTCAAAAAACATTACACCATTTAATTAAAAACAGGGAGAGATTTAAAAAACTGTATCAGTTTTTCTCTTAAATGTAGAAGGGACATTACAGTGGTATTTCTCTCAAGGTTGTAAAGAGGCATTTTTTGTCTTTTTTCCTATATTTTAATTTGTCAATAACCACTTTGTTAGTGATGAAAAAAATTTACTTTGACCTAGCTTTTTCAAGATTTCTTGAATATTCTGCAACTTTAATACATTCTTGACCTTGATCTATTATTGTGTTCTGTATTCTTAAGCTTTTAATATGTTTGAATTTTGACATAGTCTCTATACACTTTCCCAATGGTTAAATATATATATGTATAATGATATAATAGGATAGAAGAATACAGATATCTGTAAACATATTTATAGTTGCAAGTATGAAGATGTTTACTGTGTACTTAATTTATCCTCTTCTAAATAATACAATTTTAATATTTCATCTGTTGATTAACTAATGAAATGTTATTGATTAATGGGGGCCATCAATTAGCAAATACCTTTAATCAGTCATTTCTATTGATATGTAAAGCACTTTCTGTTCAATGTATGCAAATTGATTACATATTTTGTCATCTAATTGAAACTGATTACTACTATGCTTTACTGTTTATATAATTTTGATTTACAGCTGTAACTTCTAAATACATGTGCAATATACATATATTACTAAACAGTTTGGTTCATATAAATTTTTTTCATACAATAATTCAGATTATTTTATGAATACAAGTGTTTTGACAGAGGTCATTCACAAACACAAATTTATATTTGTAAGAGATTGAGGATTATTCAATACAAACTGAATAAAACTACTTTTTAAGGAATTAAAATTTATCAACCAAATGCTCTGTTAACTCTACAACTAGGTGAATTAGTATGACTTTCTAAAGTTTCAGTGTCATGTCTAGCCTCTGATTAAGGTACAGGCTAGTTTAAAAAACATGCTTGACTATTAAAATTAAGTTGAAACTGATTTTTGTGACATTACTTTTTATGTTAGAGTAAGAGCTTTGGAATGCATGCTAAATATTTTATTTAAAAATGACAGAATAATGTGATTAAGTGGTTTTTCTAAGGTTGTATTTTAAACAATAAATTGGTAAAATGTTTGAAGAGTAACCTTATAAAGCAAAAATTAATTACGTTTTAGTCATTCTAGTGCAGCTTCAAATCCAATATTGAGAAATAAATTAAAATGTGGCTTCATCATCTTGAATTATGTTCCTTCAAACTTTTTCTAAAAAGGGTGTTAAATAACATATGTAAAGTTTACTTTCTAGCTCATTAGATACTGTGAAGACAAGCACCTGAAGATTAGTGCCATTTCAGTTGTATATATGTATGTGTATGTATGTACATATATATATATATATACATATACACACATAGAGAAAAAGCTATTTTTGTTATTATATTTTATTTTATAGTCTGTTCAAATTAATATCATTTATCTGTAGATTTTTATATTTTTTCTTAATATATATATATAATTGTGGATTTTTTTATTCTTCAAGTTAACTATAAAACCTTACAAACTATGCAGAGACATTTTAATTATATTCTTTTTCTTCAGCTTAGTCTACATGAAAAGGTTCCAATGCAGGTTGATGGAGAACCATGGGAACAACATCCAGCAGATATCACTGTTACCTACAATGGTCAGGTTACCATGCTTTCAAACTTTAAAAACTGATTACCAGCTACACTGATCACTAAGCTTGGTTTGTGAATAAATTTGCTAAGAACGCTGCAATTCTAAAGATTTAGTCCAACCAAAGTAAAATGTTTACCCAGAAAAATTCACTATGGGTACATGTATCTTAACCCAAGTAAAATCCTTCAGAAACGTACTCCTTTTTTGTGATGAATTCTTGGTTAGCCTAAATCTAAAATCATTTTAGGTGAGCTAATGCCTTTTTTTTTCAGGATTTGATTCAGTTTTTTTGGAAAGTATTTCTAAAAGTTTCCTTCAATATAACTCAAACAAGTGGATACCTTTAAGAATAAGAATTGTTCATGGGTGTTAATCTTACCTGAATGGTATTGTTGTGGTAGGAAATGTCAGGCTTTTGTTGTTTAACACACATAGGGTAGAGTATAATTTTCAAGCATTTTCTGAAATATCATTTCAAAAAGTTACTAAATTTAGTGGCACTTGTACTGAATACAAGTATATATGATGTACAAACTTAACATATGTTTTTTTATATTGTATAGTTTGTATGT